CCTTTTCCTCCCTCCCCGTTTGCTCCAAGGCCCTGTCAGAACCCTGTTAGAGGGGCGTGGCCACAGGACTAAAGGCAGGAGTTGGTATTAAGACCTGCAAATCCTATGCCTCACTAGCTTCAAGATAGTGGACAAGTTAAGACTCCTCCTGGAGCCCCAGTTTCCTTATCTACAAATGAGTAGAGCTGTAGGGTGCACCTCGGATGCTTGAGGTGAGGATTCAGGGACAGAGGCCATCGAAGCCAGGAGCAAGTGCCTAACACATAAACTTCATTGCTTCCTTTGGCTCAAAATGAGGGGTGAGGGAGAGGCTTAGCTGTAAAGACTTCTGGAGTTTCCTTTATAAACACTGTGATTACTCCTACCCCTTCCACCTAGGGGAGTTGCAGTTGGAAAGCAGAGTCTGTGCATTTGAGGACAGCATGGGGCGTGATGTTTGGCAGGAGGGTCGGAGGAGGCGGGTGGGGGCAGACCAGACAGTAGCGGTCCAGGTCACAGCGAGCTGGAGCGGTGTAGAGGAACACTGGGGGAGCCCAGAGTCTTTGGCGCAATGGGTCCCGGGAGTTGAGAGACGTCTTACCTTTGGGCCAGTGAGTGAGGGAAATTCCAACTAGGATTCTCAACAGGGACCTTCGGGGGCGGGGTCCTTATCTCAAAGGCATCTTGAAAAAATGCCCTGCGGGCTCCTTCTGCCCCAGACCAAATGAAATGGCAGGTTTTCGGGAAGCCATCTACAAGGTGGTCTAGGGGAGCCAGGCGTCAGGTAGAGCGTGGGTGGGCCGGCCTGGTGCATTTCCCTTAAGCCACCTTCCTGGGGCTCAGGTTCCCAGGGTGTCTGGTCTGTGCCCCTTGGGCATCCTGTCCTTTCCCATCTAGTGTTTGTTTGCTTCTCTGGTTTCCTCCAGCCATGTCCTGTGACCCTGCACGGATGCCTTTATCTTTCTGAGGGAGTTCATTCACTTCACATGGGCTTAATAAGTCCCCATCTTGCAAATGATTAGCTTTTCCCTCCGTTTACTTATTTTCTTTCTTTTTAAAATTTCTACCAATTCCATACCTGACGTGCATGTTTGAAGTGTCCTCTGCCTTTTACCAACTTGCTTTGAACTCAGAAAAGGCTGGCCTATTTATGGAGAATGTTCTTCAAATAGGCAGGAGGTTTGCTCCTTCTCCTCTCCTCCCCCGTCCCTTCTGCTACCACCACCCTGGAAGCTGATAAGCACAAATCCCGTGATTGTAACTTGAAAGGTCTCCCTGTCTAATACTCAACAAACATTGAGCTAACTGGGGTCTGAGCCAAGCTGTAGCAAGCCAGGTTGATGCAAATTAAAAGAAAAAAACCCCAGAAAATTCCATGATGTATTGCTGATCAACTTTATTTTGAGGCCTAAGGCAAACGATTCACTTCCATGATGTAAGGAAGGCCCATGAACAGATTTTCGAATGAAAGGTGCAATGGTTCTCATCAAAGGCATGGGAGAGAGGGCCCTCATTTATACAGGACTTAATGGGAGAGGAGGCTTGTGAAGGGGGCCAGCTTCCTACACAAGTGGCCATGGCAGCAGAGCCAGGCCTTGTGATGCCCAGTCAATTGGCAAGGTGTCTGCAGGGTCACAGCAGAAGGACAGTGGTCTGCTCACTCCCCAGGTCAGATGCCTCCTTGGGGCTATTTCTGTGATGCATGGCTCCAGAGCAGGTCCAGACAGGTGGGGAATGTGGTCTGGGAGGAGCTGCACAGAGCAACCACCTTTTGGGACACTGTTTAGGACACCCCAGGGAGAGAACATGTGGCTGAAAGATATATATATATATATATAATATTTGGATGAGGTGAGGGGAGGCAGGAAGGGACTGGGGCAAGAAGGTGACTTGATTCTGCTGTACCACCTTCAACCCTGCCCTGGGCCCTGTGCTTTGGAGAGTCCCATCTTGTCCATTTCCAGTAGTGCCCTCCCCCAAATGGTGGGGAATCTGAAGAGTCAAGGGAGTACTCATCTGGAGTAGTTGTTCTTAAAGTGGGATCCCAGACCAGACCAGCATCACCTGGGAACTTACTAAAAATGCATATTCTGGGCCCCACCACAAACCTCTAAGGCCCAAGGGAATTTACATTTTTAACAAGCTTTTGTATGAAACTGAGGATGCAGATGGCAGAGCACCAGCAGATTTAGTGGCTTTAAGAGCTACTATTCTATTGTGGTACCGGAGCCATAGAGTTCTTGCCCAAACAGCCCCGGGCCCACTTCCAGGGCCTGAAGAGCTTCTCCATCAGACCTGTCCTCCTAAGAGTGTATCACAGCACTGAGGTGTGCACCTGTAGCCTGGGAGTTTGGTCCTGTAAGGGTGTCCCTACCTACACTTGCAGGTGAGGTTCATGAAACCAGACAATGAAGCTGCTATGGAGAAGAAGCAGGATACAGGTTGAAGCCCGCAGTTGCACTCTTTCCCAAGCCCTGGAAAGAGTAAGAATGCCCAAGGCTGCAGAATCAATAGAGCCCTCTCTCTACAGATACTTTTCTCTGTTGTGACCACTCCTGAGGACCAGAGAAATGTGATTTTGCTGTGCAGATAGGCATTGATTAATTCACTTAAAAAATGCAAAAGCAAAAGCAGACTGATTTCTCTGTGTAGCACCAGAGAAACAAGTCATCCTTTGCACCTGCCTAATGTTCTCCAGCCAGTGACAAACTCCCTGGAATTACGTATGTAAGCAGCCATGGTTTTGTCCTAGCAAGCCCTGCAAATACAGTTTGGATTATGTCACATCCTTTATACCCTGGCAACTACTGGCTGCTTTTAGATTTTTGTACCTAGAATATAATGGGGAGGCGCTGAGGCAATGGGGCTTATGGGCTAAATGTTTCCACTGTGGAATTAAATAGACCTGGGTTTGGATTTCAACCTCACCACTTACTAGCTCTCAGACTTTGGTAATTAACTTCATTTCTCCAAGTCTTGAGTTTCCCATCTGTAAAATGGGAGCAAAGGAGTACTTACTTTAGGGACCTGTTCTCTGCCTGTTCTCGGCAAAGTAAGGATGAAAAAACATGTCAGGCCTCACAACATTGAGCTTGTGCAGCAAGTGCCTTAGGTTTGTCCCTCTCACCACATCCTTGGTTTGGGGAGAAATATGAGAAGCAGGAAAGTGAAGCGTAAGGCCCTGGGTGCAGGGATGGTGGTGGCAGAGCCCCGTCAGACACGGGTTTCTGTAAAGGAGGAGAAGAAAGTGTGCTGACTTCCCACTGATTTTAATGTGACCCTGGTAAGTTTGAAGGTCTTGGCTTCCATAAATCAACTGCCTCCAGCAGCTTTTCCCTTTTCACCTCTCTAACCCTCCCTGCAGCTCGCTCTCAGGTTGAGACTTGTGTATCAGAGTGATGCAGCCAGTCCTACCATCAGCCCAGAGCAGGGGCTGGGTATGGCCGAGGCTCCAGAGCTAGTGTCCTGGGGCTACATCTGGACTGGCAGTGAAGGTCGAACCTGGGACCCAGTGACACTTTTACTATTGAAATTGACCCAAGCTTTACTAGCTTCTGGGGAAAGCTGGGGGCTTTGGGGATTTTTGTATTTGCTCAGTTGTAAATATTTTATGAGCAAGCAGCCCAGAAAAATCTGGTTAACTTTCTGCCTTGCACATTGAAGTGGAGTTGGCTTTATAGACACATGTGTCAAAAAAAGAAAGAACTCCCCCCCCAAAAAAAGACCCAACCCAGAAAGTCCAGTTTTGTCTTCATCCCAAAGAATTCACTTTGGATTTTAAAAGCCTGTTATTCCCCATCCCCCTCACATGCCCTAAATTTCCATTTCTCACCTGTAACCAAAAGGTTTATCTTCAGGATTAGTCGAAAAGCAAGCAGATTTCAGGTTGTGTGGGTGGAGGAGTGGAGAACGTCCCTGCGTGCGCCCTGTGGGGTGTTCTCCTTCCAGAAGTGCCTGTTCGTCAGGGGCTGCAGGGTCTTCTCAGTGGATATGTGTGTGTTTCTCCTTTGACCCCCCCTGCGAACTAAGAAAGGCTTCTGAAGACCTCATTGCTCTTTTGTTTGTGTTTAAATGGTGAATTTAAAAGAGAAAGAAAGAAATCACATAACTCTTTATTCTGTCTGCCGGATGGGCAGCAAACTTCCCTTACACGGCCAGTGGGTCTCAACTAGACTGCACCTTTAAACAGTCTCGGGAGCTTAAGAAAAAAGTTAACAACAACAACAACAACAAACCCAATCAAACCCCCGATACCCCGGCCTTGTTTGCAGGTTTTGATTCAATTGCCTGGAGTAAGCCCAGGCAGCTGGTAATTTTTAGGTTCTTTAGGCGATTATCACCGGCAGCCAAATTGAGAATGGCTATTCTAGAAGTTTCTCACTTGTTGACCTGCATGAACACTAGGTCAAGCAAGGCTCTAAGTGCTGTAATGAACAAGATAGACTCGACATGCTCCTAGCTCCCACCGGCTGGTGAAGGGGGGGAGGGGTGTTGCTGGGGAAAACAGACCACTAAAGACAAATATTAATGAGGCTCATCGCAGATAGTGTTAAGTGCCAGGAAGATAATACAACAGGGGCCTGTGATAGTGACCGAGGGAGGTTACTGTAGATCAAGGTGGTCGAGGATGGCCTCTCGGAGGAGGAGACATTTAAGCTGAGCTGTGAATGATGAGAATGAGCCTGCTGAGAGGAGGGCTGGGGGCAGTGCGCCCCAGGTTCGCAACCACAAAGGGCACATTAGTGGTTGCCGGCAAGCTCCTGGGGGAAAAGCCGGGAGGCCGCCTCGGCCGCCTCTTCTGCAGCCACCGACTTCCGCCCTGGGAGACCCGGGCTGACGGGAGGAGGGGGACTGGGCTGGTGCGCCTCCCCTAGCCCGGGTGGTCGGCCGCGGGCTGGCCCAACTGGACCCCGGGTCGGCAGGCCCTGCTCCCCGCCCTTTTCCTCCTGGGGGCAGCCGCACAGCACCGGGCTGATCTCCCCCTTAAGTGAAACTGACTGTAATTATTTTTTATCTTGCAGACGATCTCTCGCACACTGCTCTCCGGAGACAGAAGTATTTGTTTGATGTGTCCACGCTCTCAGACAAAGAAGAGCTGGTGGGCGCAGAGCTGCGGCTCTTTCGCCAGGCGGCCGCAGCGCCCTTGGGGCCACCCGCCGGGCCGCTCCACGTGCAGCTGTTCCCCTGCCTGTCGCCCCAGCTGCTAGACGCGCGGACCCTGGACCTGCAGGGGGCGCCCGGGGCCGGCTGGGAAGTCTTCGACGTGTGGAAGGGCCTGCGCCACCAGCCGTGGAAGCAGCTGTGTTTGGAGCTGCGGGCCGCGTGGGGCGAGCAGGCAGCTGAGGAGGTCGAGGAGCGCGCGCCTGGGCTCCAGCAGCCACAGTTCCCAGACCTGCGGAGTCTGGGCTTCAGCCGGAGGGTGCGGCGCCCCCAAGAACGCGCCCTGCTCGTCGTGTTCACGCGATCCCAAAGCAAGAACCTGTTCACCGAGATGCGCGAGCAGCTAGGCTCTGCCGAGGCTGCGGGCCTGGGAGCAGATGCTGAAGGGCCGTGGCCCCTACCGTCGGGCTCCCCAGACGCCGGACCTTGGCTGCCCTCGCCCGGCCGCCGGCGGCGGCGCACGGCCTTCGCCAGCCGCCACGGCAAGCGTCACGGCAAGAAGTCCAGGCTGCGCTGCAGCAAGAAGCCCCTTCACGTCAACTTCAAAGAGCTGGGCTGGGACGACTGGATTATCGCGCCCCTGGAGTACGAGGCCTACCACTGCGAAGGCGTGTGCGACTTCCCGCTGCGCTCGCACCTGGAACCCACCAACCACGCCATCATCCAGACTCTGATGAACTCCATGGACCCCGGCTCCACCCCGCCCAGCTGCTGCGTGCCCACCAAATTGACTCCCATCAGCATCCTGTACATCGACGCCGGCAACAACGTGGTCTACAAGCAATACGAAGATATGGTGGTGGAGTCCTGCGGCTGCAGGTAGCAGCGGCGCCTTTCCTGCCGCCTTGGCCCATGACCGCAGGAGGCCTCACTGCAGAGAGGCAGGAAGAGGAGTCGGCCTTGGAGGCAGAGGGTGGGGGTACAGCCTGAATATACAGCCGCTTGGGAGAGGAGGGAGCTCAGCCTTGCCAGAACCTTTCACCTGCCAGCTCAAAGGGAAATAGGGTTTTTCACTCTTTGCCTTGGCTTCCTTGGAAAAACACGCCAAGGAGGATTTCTTTAGTTTTTATCTTTATTATTGCAGCTTTGGATTTCTTTGTGTGTGCCGCAGGTTTTGGTAGAAGGTGGGGGAAGGGGAGACACCAGTTTCTTAATTGCTTCATGGATTGAAAAAAAAAAAAAAAAACCAGTTTAAGAAGGAAAACAATTTGGGAGGAAGAATCACCTTTGACCAACTACATCTTGTTCTCTACCTGTGTAAAAAAGATGGGTTTTTCTGGCCATGTTATAGCCCATGCCTCTAACACCTCCTGAGCAGAGCGTGTTAGAATAGAGGAATCAGCACCAGGAATGGGAAAGCCAAGAAAGGCCTTGCCTTTAGAAGAGTGTTGAAAGAGATGGGCCCAAGCTGCCTTTTTTACTGCTGGGCTCTGCCCTGGCCACTCCCAGTATAGGGAATGGGCAACCTGCATTACACTCTAGAGGGCTCAGGTCGCACTGCCTTTAGAGCTGCTTTTTCTGGTGAGGGAAAGGAAAGCTGGTATGGATGGAATGACAGGAATGAGTCCAAATGGAACCCCCTGAAGGATAATGAGAAACCACAAGGCCTGTCTCTGATGCCTGACAGTGAGGTGCATTAGCCCCGGCTGGAGGTAACCTAGGAAAAGCCCTTCCTGATGTCAGCTTCTAATTGATATCTTTGAACAGAATTTGCCAAAATTTAGACATCTCATTTTAAGGGGAAGGCAATTTCCCACTTAAACAAAAAATGAATAGGAGTGGGGAACGACATAGCTAAGGTAAGAAAGAGGTGCAGAGGGAAAATGAGCTCCGAGGTAGAAGGGCAAAGTCAGGAGGGGAGATGGTGGGCCCCACAGGAGGATGGGGAGAAGGAGCCGTCCCGGAGAAGAGAAGGATGAATGGTACACGAGGCCCTAGCCACCAAGTTTCTTTAAAATCTGTGTTTCCTCTCCTCTCTCTGACATTCCTGAAAGATTACCAGCCAGCAATAGCCCAGGGCTTGCCCAAAAGAATTGTTTCAGATTGTAATTACCAGTTAGGCAATGTTTTTAAAACTTAGTAATGAGAAACTGTGAAAAGAGCAAAGTGTTATATTGAGCTTGGGGTGGGAGATGGAGAGCTGGCAGTAGTGAGGAAGGAGGCAGGGGTGGAATTCATCCCCAGGGATGAAGCGAGGAGAGAGAGCACGGAGCCATTGAAATACCCACTCCCAGATCGTCCAAAACAAGAACCTTTCCCCAGTCTGCACCACTATTATTCTCAAACATTGCCCGCATTGCCCATAAGTAAGCCCCTTGAAAAGTTTGCTTCCTTCTCATCTTTGACCATGAAGTGGTTTAAACAAGGGAACTTGTATCAACCATTAAAAAAGTTTTGTTTTTCCAAAGTGGTTTTGCTCTCTCTTGATCTAAACCTATTGCTTGTTTGGTTCAGAGAACTACAGTATGTCAAAGAAAGGGTTAGAATGATAATAAATATTAATATAAAATGCTGAGAAAAAAAGACTTGGCCAAGAGAAATAATTTAAAATGCACATTTGCTTTGGATGCACTGTTGTTCTGTTAAAGGCTGTATATATTTGTCTATTTAAGGCGACTTAAAGTGCAAAGAGGAAATGGATAGCATGCAATTCATCTTAATGTACAAAATGTTATATGCACTCAAATGTTATAATTTCTAATATTTTTAAAGTTTATATTCGAGTTGTACAAAGTTAAACATTAATCAGATATTTCATTCCTTCTTAATGTTATCATTTTCTTGAATATTATTACAAGATTTTAAGTCTGTCTAATGGAGAGTTTTTTTTTAAACTGTCTACCTCACTATAATACAAGTATTTACAACACTAAATTTACCAGAGGTCAATTGATATTCAAAACATTTTTTACAGTATACTTTTCCTGGATGATTCTCAATCTAATACTGTATTATTAAACTCGTGTTCTCCCTTAAATAACTCAGCCTGGGTGTTTTGTTCCAGTATGGGACTGAATGTCGGTCAGAAAAGACACTGGTTATTTTAAGAGCCATCATTTAGAGAATTACACTTTTTCTCCATGACTCTTCCATAACTCTCTTCACATGAAATGTTCTTTCCCCAAATCCCTCTCAGCTACCAGAACAGTGTTTATAGGCCTGTGCCCCATTTCAGCATCTCAAGACCCCAAATAGAAATTGGAGTATTTCTTGGTTTCTTTAATGTTGAAAAAAGAAAGCTGTAAATTACCTAGGCCAACCAAGATGTTGGTAATTACTATTTACATTTATGGCCTAGTGGAAGCAGAAGATACAAAATGTTTTTCTAGATGGTCGCCGTTTGTATATCAGGGGACCCGGATACCCTGAATCTGAATGCTTACTACATGTTAGAGATAATGTTGTGCATGCATGATCTCCTCTAAAGCCCTCAGAATCTTCAGGAGGTAGTTATGATAATAATTCCTGTTTTGCAGATGAGGAAACAGGTGCAGAGTTTAATAGCTAGCCGTGGTCATTGAGCCAGGGAGTAGTGGTGAAGATTTAAACCTAGTTCTTTCACATCCTAGAGTCCAAGGAGTTACACCTCTGTTATCATTGTGCCCCCAGATTACATATCTGCTCTCTAATTGGTCCCTAACTGTCAGTGTGGGAAATTTGCAATTAGCCGCAATGATTGGGGGCAGCCAGCCGGTAGAGGAGAAGCTGCCACAGCAGACCCTAGGGTTGCCTGAGGTTTTGGAATGAATATATGAATTGAGGCAGCTGGGATGCTTGGGTATGGATTGCAAAACTCCGTGAGTTCTTAGCTTCAGGCTTGCCTTGAGAAACCCATAGTTTAGGTCATTGATGGGCTTCTGTAGATTCTCTTGTCTACAGTTTTCTGAAACTGTCTTGGGTGCAGTTTTTGTGCTTTGATGATCAGAGTAATGGTCAATTTACAAACAGGTCATGTTTCCATAGACTAGTTGTAAGCAGGCTGTTTATAACTGAGAAACATTTTCTTATGGAAAACAATGTTCATTTATGTTTCCAGGTCATTTTACAAAAGCTTTATTCACCCAAATGAAAAATTTTAACAAAGCAATTTTGACTTCTGGATTCGGGGAACAGGGAATCACTTGGGAATACAAAACAGAGGTCTTTCTCTTTTCTGAGCAGAGGCTGTTTTTTTAAATAGTTGAGAATTCTTTGCATTTTCCACCACTCTTTATATGCCAGTACCCAGTTCCCCCCAACCCTCCAGCAGCCCGAAGACACCTAGCTCTTCTCCTTAAATGTGTCTCCAGTCTACAGATTTCCCTTTTCTGCACAAATGTCTCCATCTCCAAAGTTATTTTCCTCTCTGCCCTCCATCATAAATTTTATTCCTTAACTCAGATATTAGGAGAAACACAATTTAATTGAATCACACAAACATGTAAATATCTCTTGGCTCCTCGACCTTGGAGACACTTGGATTTTAAAAAAGAAAATCTTGGTTAACTCAGATCACTTGTGAGTGATGTGAAAGAAATTTAGACAGTACGAGCAAACAACACTGAAACTACACATAATTCTGAGAGCATGCGTGAACTAGGCATGATGATACAAAGACGAATGGGGACACTTGTGATTTTTTGGTGTCCTTGTGGGACATTTTATGCATTGGAGAGATTAGCTAACTTGTTTTAACAATACTATCCAACATATTCAAGTCAAAGACTTGATAACTTAGTTTTTTTTTCTCTAAAGCTCCTAAGTTAAATTAATGTAATCCCCCCAAATACTAGTCTCCCCATTTTGTTCATTGTTATATTCTGAGCATCTTTTGCACAATAGTGCCCAACACATCACAGACACTCAATGAATATGTTGAATAAATAAATTGAGAAATGTTATATTATTTACAAGTCCATTAATTTTAACAAACACTTCCAAGAGAGCTTTTGATTTATGTCTCCTCAACTCAAGTTGACTGGACCAACCTCCCTTAATTAATCACTTCTGATTATAAACCTAGTTAACAAACTTTCTTTAAATATTGTGCATTACTTTTATCAATTTAAAGTATTCAATTTTCTCTTTAAAGCCCTTTAAATGTCTTGGGAAGAAAAAGCTTTCCCTACACTGAAACCACTTCAAGTAGAGCTAGTAAATCTCTAAGTGCAATGATACTTAAATTCTAGTAAGCATTCAAACACTGTTTATACTTTTGACTTAACATCAAGTATCTAAACTTAATTACTCAATGATCTATTTAAATTGATATTAGAAGACTAATGTGTTATATACCTTAATCAACTGTATTTTCTTAAAACTTGCAAACATCTTACATACCAAATATATAGATTGTCTCAATGATTTCAAAAAAACGGTATTTGAACTTAATACAAGTGTTAATTATGTAGATTAGATTTGCTTAGTCTTTGTAATCTATTCTACAATATCTTTGGGTTAAAAACACTAATCTGCTACTGAAAAATCATGGCGTCACCAGCAAGTTGGGAGACTTCAGCAGGCTATGGCTGCAAACAGAGCAGAGGCTTCAGCCTAGGAAGGAGAACTTTCTCTAAGACACTGACCAACATGCAACTACCTTCAATAGTCACTTTAATGACAGGAACCCCAAATTCATGACTCTAATGATCTGGTTTCTCTTGGGTTCAAGATAGGCCATTAACTTATTTTTCCTTCTGATTTGAGTAAATTGGATTCTATACTCTCATTAAGATTATAGCTCATTTTCTTCACTGATCAACTGGATTTCACATCTACTTAATGATCTTAGGACTTTCTTTGCTTTCAACTTTGGCTTTAAAATCGCTTTACTGCCACTTTATT